AAAAAAAAAAAAAAAAAAAAAAAAAAAAAAAAAAAAAAAAGAATGTATAATCACAGTCTTACCCCTAGCTTCTCCCTCATAATTATTAGGGCATTCAATTTATTATTTGATTTATGACTCTCTAAATAATACACTTAAAAAAATTGATTCATGCTTTTTCTGTTTCAAACAGTGGACCAGCATCTATACTTTCAAGATACTTACGTTTTCTACCAGTTTTCGTCCGATGAATGCAGCTACTTGTACTGTGAATTTGAGAGAGGAGAAGAATGGCAGAATGGTGTCAGACTCCTGCTGCAGCTTGTGCCCCTCACTCCTGCGAGAGCTGGCATCTGCGAACTGTAAGTAGGTGCTATCCTGTGCCATTGTTAGGTTATTCTTATTTAGAGAATGTTTAGCAGTGTCCAGGGACTGTGCTCTGCTCTTTAAGATCATAGTCTGGTTTAGGAGGTCGGGGTACTATTCCCATTTATCAGATGCAAATTCTGGAAGGTAAAATAAATTGCTAAAAATTAAATCCAGCTAATAAATGACTGAACTGGTATTCAAATCCCAGGAGTTGCTGCCTCACCAGTGCTACCATGCTGCTTCTAACTGATCAGTGCTGTATGAGTAGATGATCTAAATTAGGAACCAACATAGGATTGGGCTTAAGTTGGAATAAAACAATAGCTCACATCTTATGCACTGTCCAAGTCGTGACTTTCCTAAGAAATAGCTCAGTAGACATTTCTGAAAATAATCTAGAAGCAACATTTGGCAAATTAAAACACATGAATCATTATCACATGAAGACACTGAATCACCATATGATTAAAATATATTAAAATTAATTAGAGGAGCTTAGGAATAGGACTTGAGTCATGATGTGGTGATTCTGACATGCCTTTGTTTATCCATGGTGATAGTGACAAGCTTATTTCAGAATTACAAGTTACAGATTAAAGTTTCAGTTAAAAACTCTTACATATGTAGAACACTTCAGTTTTCAGAATGCTTTCCCTTATTGTTGTGTTTTTCAGTACTGTGATAGGAGCAGGACAAGTGGTATGGTCCTCATTTCATAGGTGAGAAAGTAGGTTCAGAGAGAAACACCTGTATGACCATAAGAAAGATAAGTTACTCTTACTATTTAAATGACAATTAATACTGAACAGTTTAATAGACTGTTTTTGGGGAAAGGAATAAGTTTAGAATATTAATGAGACTATTAACAGAAAGATTGATTGTAGAGAATATATTTTATGTCAGGCACTGTGTTAAATGCTCTATATTTATTATGTCATTTTCAGAAGAATTCTGTAAGACAGGTACTATTATTTCATCCCTATTTTATAAGTGGAAAGCTGAGGCACAGATATCAGGTAACCGTGCTCACACAAGTGTAGTCTTAGTGTTTGAACCCATGTCGGTCTAGCTTTAAAGCCCATGCTTTTGCCATCTGCTGTAGTATGTTCTCAGAAGTTACCAGGCTCATTCTAGCATCCCCTTCTGAGAAATTATAAACAGAAGCTATAAAAGTGTTAGATTGAGCTCTGAAATGGTTATGGATTTCCCACCACCACTGTTTGTAAAGGGCCTTGAGATGGTAATATGAAATTCAAAAATTAATTAGTTTGAGTACAGGAAATATTCTGTTTTGTAATATGCTCTTAATATAGGTCAGAAGTGTCCTGAGAAAAGTCGAGCAGCATTTCAATAAACTTTAATAAGCTTTCTAAGAAGGAGTGGCATGCTTTTAAGCTAGAGGTGGCTGTGACTGGTTTTGACTCTGTGGGACAGGCGTTCTCTGGCAGCTCTTCTCAACCATTTCCTGTTCTGCACACAAATGGAGGTGTGCATAATCCCATGGCCATACCCCCATTAACAGGGCATAAGGGCTGCAGAAATACACTCGCCAGCAGTCCTCATGTTTTAACTCTGCCTCCTCCCCCACTCAGAAAGCAAATTGGAATGCCACTGGGTGAGATGACCTTGTTGTATGGAGAACTCCTGGGTTTACTGTTTCTAAAAATGAAAATGTTCTGGGCCTGCCCGGTGGTGCACTGGAGAGTGCGCCGCTTGGGAGTGCGGCGGCGCTCCCGCCGAGGGTTCAGATCCCATGTGGAGACCGGTTCCCGCTCACTGGCTGAGCGCGGTGCGGGCGCGACACCGAGGGTTGCAATTCCGTTACTGGTCAGTAAAAAAGACAAAAAAAAGGGGAAAAAAAAAATGAAAATGTTCTTAAAATTTGGGTCCTAATGTTATTTCCAGATTACTTGCCAGTCTTTTGTCACACTGACCATGGTGAACACAAATGTCAGGATCTGGAGTTGAGAATGACTGTAGTGTGCCATGTTTATTAGCAAGTTTTTTTGTTGATGTGAATATGTGCATTTGGGAGTGTAACTGATTGCTGTGGAACTATGTACCTGTCTGTCTCTTATTACAAGTACTGAATATAAAAAGATAAAATTACTGAACCACTGCAAGTCTCTTTTGGAGAGAGAGAAAATATATATATATATATATATATATATATTTCTATACTAGAGTCATAGGTCACATTCTGTGCTATGGTAGGATGTTTTTGGAACATTTGGAACAAATTTTGAACAGCCAAGTTTTGGATTATCCAGACATAGAATAAACTTCAGTCAGAGAAAAGGTGCCCAGGGACATTGTCCTCTTTCAGTTGCATTGTCACAATTCTCCCTATGGTCCGTGCATACAATCCCATCATAACTCCTGCTCTAACGGGCAGTCCTTTTTGTTAGCCCCCAGCCCACACCCGTTTACTCCTCCATGCCAGTGTGATAGTCGTGCTCTTTCCTCTGCCCTTTATTCTTGTCCAGTCAAATTCTACCCAACCCTCAAGGGGGAGCCCAAGTCTTACTGTGACCAGAAAACTTCCACGATGTTTTCTGGTCTATGTTAACCTTGCTTTAACTTACCACTCTCACTGTTTATTAAAAAAAACATAAAAATAAAATTTTAATTTTTTGATGTCATTCTTAGTCCTATATTGTTTCATTTTTATCCATTCTACTGAAAAGCTCTCTGAAGTCCTTTTGATTCTTATGTTGTCCCTTCATGAGCTGAAAACCCAATCCTGTGGTCCTTTTAATAACCTTTTTGACATTCAATCTGCCTGTGTGGTTCTATGTTAGGTCCCTCTAATTTGGCATCTTCTAAGTGTCTTTAAAATAATGCAAGGAAGCCACTTAATGTCTCTGTGTAAACACAGTTCTATTCTGTATAAGTGCATTTCTAAAAAGAAAGTAAAGGAGATTTTCTCATTTAAAAAAGAATGCTGAAAGCAGGAGGGGAGATGAAGCTGCTGCAGGTTTCTAGGCTACTTTGAGGAAACAAAATTCCTGTTCTTTTTTTTTTTTTTTTTTTTTTTTTTTTTTTTTTTTTTCCGTGTCCGGCAACGGATCGCAACCCTCAGTGTTGCCCCCGTACCGGACCGGGGACC